ATAAGAAATATAAACTGGTTTTCCTGATCATACCAATAAATAAAATGAACGGAGAATGTCTGTTCGTGCTCGTGTGAAGTAAGATTGCGATCGAAAAAAATCGACCTCAAGTAGAACGTACCGAGTGTAAAGACGGTTGGTCAGCCTCCTACCTTGTCCATTTATTGTAAGACCTYGAAATTGCCTGAAATTGAGAACAGGGCATAAAAACCAATAGAGAAAATCCTGTAATAAATBGATGTTTCAGAACTTCACACTCGTAGCAGATGATGTAAGACGATTAATAAACTTTGAATTATCGATCTGCTAACATTCGCCCCATGTAAGGGAATCCAGAATCCACGAAATTTTAGGCTTTGGATTCTGGAATTCAGTTTATAAGGACATTTAATTTTTTAGCTTTCTTTACTTGGCCAAAAACTCTAATTTCATGCTATGTTTGAAAAGTACAATTCAATATGTTGGTAATGTAAAAGGTGCGCTTTAACAATAATTAAATTGAAATTTAGATCAGGAAATTGTCGTTTAATATAAGAGGTTATATGACAAATGAATTCACGAGTTGAAAGGGATCTTTTATGAATATTGTATTATGTCATTTTAAAAAATATAAATATATTTCTGCTTTCTTGTGCAGGTAAGCCGCATGTTGCCTGAGGTATTTTTTGAAAAGGAGATAAGAGTTTACTGCAAGGAAAGAGAACAACAGACTGTAAAAGAGATGAAAACGTAAGTGATATTTACCTGTAGACCTATTAAAAGTAACAATCCTTATTTCAAAGGATAAATGTAAAAGAACGAACGAACGAACGAACGAAAAAAAGATAGCTTGAAATCTGACTCTCGTTTTGAAATCTAATGAAAWGTTCTTTTTTCGATGCATCCGKCTCTAGTTGACGATTGTACATAAGCGTTTCTTTTTACTTTAATCAGGGTTCGTGCTAYATTTTCGTTACAAAATTCAAGGACTTTTTAAGCACTTTTCAAGCACAAATATTCGATTTTCAAGGACAATGAGTTTTTTTGTATTAGAACGTGGTTTAAACATTGATTCAATGTTACAGTGCAGCTAATTCAGCCGGGGCTACTAGCTGAGATAAATAGATCTTTAATATGCGCATTCTTAAAAGAAGTACCCAGATATTCAGCTAGGCTATTTGCGAAATATACGAAAACTCTTCAATCAATTTTAATCGTTATTTATTTTAAAAGGAAAGTTAGAAATAGCATTATATTTGCATTAAATTCAAAGAGTATTCCAGGAGTTTTGGCGTTTTCTCTATTTTCAAGGGCTTTTCAAGCGCCCTTAAAAACGTGTTTTCAATTCACTGAGTAGTTTTCATGGATTTCAAGGAGTAGCACGAACCCTATTTAATACAAAAAAATACAGCAAGAAAAGGTTTGACTCATTGGAATTTTAGTTTTAGGCGTTAATCGTATTATTTTACTTCAACTTGCATCTTTCCTTGATTCTTTTATCATAAATAATCATAAGAGTAAAACTATTCGCGAGTATGCGCATGTGCAGAGTGGGTCCACAGTGCTAGAAATATCCCATATGAAACATCAGCAGTTCATTTCCTCATATAAATAGCCAATGTGGTCTTCATTTTACAAGAACATTGTACTTGTTAGTTTCGTTTAACGGTCGTAAGTGAATGACGTAAGACGATCGATAAACGTTTAATTATCCATCTGCTAACATCTTACTGAACGAGTGAGCAAGTGAGTGAGTGACACATTTGCATATTCAGACCCCTCACAATAACTCGTTTCTACGCTTCGCGTATCCACGAGTTAAAAGGTTAACGATATGAAAAGTTGTCATTATACAATTCTGTTTTCAGAGCTTTCCTTGAATGGTGTAAACATCGGGGATATGAGGTCGAGAACAAGGTAAACTAATTTTTGGGCCGATAGGTGGCTCAATCCACTGTTTTTCCATTTCATAACATGTGTCATTCACTTGAGTATTATTACTTTTCGAACAACATAACACGCTTGCAAAGAAACATCAATGCAATGCAAAAAATACTTAAAACCAAGAATGGCTTATTCTCGAGAGAGTGAAATAGTCTGAAATTGGAAAACATTGCGTCCAATTGATAAAAATGATGACGAAGGCGGAGATGATGACTTTGTTGATGATGATGATACATGACGGTTGTGATGATGATGATTTTCAATCAAGTTATTTTGAACCATTCCACTAAAATAGGGGTTGGGCTACTTGGTACCAACCACCACTGGAAGTGGATTTTATCTTCAAATATCTCCAAAAGTAAAAGTAAAATAGCAGAACTTAGATGTTTTGTACGTATGCTGAACAACGTACCCAGTATTATGTAAATCAATAAAGTCTGGTCCTTATTTAGAACGATTCTTTTGACCTTACCCCAAGCCACACACTAAATTAAACTTAAAAATAGCCATTGTTGACTTGATTGCATTAATGACATCAGTTGCAGGAGCCAAGAGATCCAAGAACCGACCAAAACCCAAACGGTCAAGTCGAAGAAGATGACGATCTTCATGATCCTGATGACCCTCCACCCGTCGCCTGCTAATCTACGACCAGTTCCCATCACCCTGCATGCACTTATTATCTACCAATATGAATTGTAATTCTGGTTTTTGTAGTTTTGTAGTCTTTCACTGCTTTGATTATTTTATCCACTTACAAGCTTCGTTCTATTCTACCAATAGCGGTCGACCTAATAATTGATGCATAAAGAAACTTTATGAATTTTATGATTTTGCACTTAGCTTTAAGCGAAATTCATCTGTATACTGCTTTCTTAGCCGGAGCAGTTTTCGTGTGACTGTGAAAAGCTCGCGGCACGAACACGGTCGGGACACGGCAAGGCATACGCCAAACCAATCACACTGCGCGAGAACTTACACTCCATCCAATCAAATACCCGGAACACAGCATAAACAAGGCGCAGACACGGTCTTAGCCGAGGTCAAGGCACTGCCAGACTAAATACCTTTTGCGCGAGTAAAAATAAGCCCATCAAAATTTTAGAAAACATCCCAAGTCAMAGTCGCGACAAGATACGCATACATCTATTTCAAAAAAACGTTGTCTGTTGGGGATACGGCACCGAGCTTTTCACAGTCATACCAAAACTGGTGTAATCTTGACTTTGTGTTACTTCTGTGCACAAAGATGAAAACTGCTACAGTCATTAATGCAAAGTGCACCTAAAAGTTGTTTAACCACATTATGCCCAAAGTAAAAGACTCGCTAAATCTAGAAATTGCTTATTTGTTTGTTGATTATATAGAAAAAAACTCGTAAGAAATAAACGTTTGCTTGAACAAAGTGTTACCATGCTCGGGATGGGGTCCCAAAAGCATCGAGAAAATAGAAAATTGGTAAAGGAATAACGTTTATTTTAAGGAATGTCTGGAAATGGCAATCAAGGGTGGCGTAGGGGTACGTAGTTCACTCGTCTCATCTCTCGGGTTCGATTCCTAGATTCGATTCCTAGATCTCGGGTTTGATTCCTAGATTCGATTCCTAGATCTCGGGTT